TCGATCCTATATTAATTTTTTTGATTTATTAATATGCTCTCTTTCCATAGCCACACCTCATTGGCTGCAGACGATGATGGACACATCATTGTCCATTGAGGAGAATCTGTTTTGGGAGTGCAAAGCCAATGGGAAACCAAAACCCTCATACAGCTGGCTGAAGAATGGAGAAACTCTTATATCAGAGGTACTTTGCGGTTTCTGAAAGGCCCCTAATGAGACTGAAAGCTTTATCTCCACTTACTTTAGTTCACGGTCAATGCAAACATAACTTCTCATTGCTGACATTAAAGCAAGGCAAAAAAGAAGCCAACAGCTGTTTAAGTAGGAGAAACTCCCATCAACAAGCATCAGCAGTTATAAGGCAGCAGAAAGACTCCATTAGATGTGACCTGCATTCAAGCCGAGAGTGACCCGTACCTCCTACCCACCCCTCCATCACACATCACGTCAATCTCTCCTTGTGATTCTTTGTGCTGAGTTCAGCCCTTAAGAACAGCCGATAGGCTTAAATGTCTGCTATTCCATTAGCAGGACCATCAGCTCAACACCTCCCTACCTGTCTCACATACTTTTCCGACTGGGTGCCCATGCCAAATGAATTGGCCATTAGTATTTCACTGCTATGTTCAACATTTCTTTTCTGTTCATTGGAGCAGAGGGTCAGCATTTTTCTTTATTCTCTTTTATAACCTCCTCCACCCTCTCTTAACCCGTCCTTAGATATTCAACTCTACGTACTTTCAGTGTTAGAGTGCAGCCGTGTTGTAAAAAAAAAAAGCCATCATTCATGGTGAGAAAATTGTAGGAGTGCACAATAAATAGTTTATCAGCCAATTCTGGAGTTTTTTATGGGTTGTTATTGGATATACATTGGCTGATATTGGATTTTTTATTTTTCTTGCTCAGTTTCCATATTTTTTCAACATTTAGATTACTTTTGACGTTAACTGTCGCTCACTTAAAGTTCATCTTTTCAAACCGCAATTGAATAACTTTGTTAGATGTATTTGTTAACAAATCTTAAAATATCAATTTTCATACTGTACATTATAAAGATGTAATGGCTAAATTCACGTGCAGCTTTTAAATGATTGATTTTAGTTTTAAATGTTTTATTTTGAATTTATTTAGGCAAAATAGTTCAGAATTACATTTTTGACTGGCAGATGATAAAATGGGCAAAGAAATCCCATAGTCTTACATTGAAGCAATGTTATTTATTTTAGTATCATTGAGATACTATTACAGTTTTTATTGATTTTTTTTTTTTTTCATTTTAATTTTTGTTAAAGTTTTAGTAATTTTGTTGTGTTTTGTCTATTTTTGTTTTTTTAGTTTTTATGCATTTGTTTTTAGTTACAGTCATTTTAGTACATCAGCTTAAATTAAAGTCAAACATATTTCTGAGGCAACTAGCTAAAATGAAATAAAATGAAGCCCTATTCGGACGGGACTATTTTTCTAAACTACGTTTGAGTTTAGATTCTCATCACCCGACGTCTGTGATTTTCATGTACCAATTCAGACGGGACTAACATCTCTGTGTTTATTACAGAGGTCGGAGTGTCTGTTTTGTACATCTGGGCATTGCAGAGATTACGTGTCATGTATACATGCGTGCATTGCGTATCATTTGGATTGATTACCATTAGTATAACCACAGTTTTACAACAAATACCATGGTTAAGCTATGGCTAGTATAGCAAAACCCATGGTTAATTTGTGGTTACTTTAGTTTAACTATTTTATTTTTTTTAATGTATTTGTAGTAAAACCAAGTTTAATTTTCGTAAAGGTACATATGTAATTAAAACATTATGTAATTGAGTGCAGTTAAAAACATATAAAAAATGTGCGTTAGTTAGAGCGTCTATGGTAGTTCACATTGGCCCACACACAAGGAAACGCGTTGAGAAAAAAATATTGCCAGCAATCACAGACATTCGCATTCGGACGCGATTAGATTTCTCAGAGGATCACTGAGTTTGCCAAAAAAAAAAACAGTAGGTAATTTGCTCTAGAATTATTACAGAGGTTGTGTGAGAAAAACACAGACGTGGCAGATTCGGACGGGATTAAAATCGCAAAGTACGTCTGTGAAACACAAATTTCTCTAACGACCCCCTGGAAAACAAGTACTATCCAAATAGGGCTTAAGTGTAACTTTTTATAAAAAAAAATTTTTAATTAACATTTATTTTATTTCAAGTAACCATCTTTTTTATAGTTTTCGTTTTAGTTAATTGAATGAAGGATCCAATCCATATCTAGCAACCAGAATATCATAGAAACGTTGCGCTGGTCTCTTTTGACTTGGGCCAGTAAGCAACCATGTAATCAAGCAGCCCAGCAAGGCCCTAGCAACCGCATAGCAACCATTTTACTTTGTTGTTGTTTTTTTTATGTCTACAGGGCCGAGTGCAAATAGAGAACGGCGCTCTCTCCATCTCCTCGCTAAACCTCTCAGATGGCGGGATGTATCAGTGTGTGGCAGAGA